GGCCGGGAAATTCTGCTGACCTAAAAAAGAGGATGGAAAAATGAGTTAATTCTGCTGACCCCAACCAAAATCCACGAGGGGCCTCGTGTTTCGTGGTGTGTCCAGCTCTGCCAGGGTTTTTTTTGTGGAGATCTGGGCTTCTCTGTTGAGATAACCCGCTCTCCGAGGCGGTGGGAGGAGGAGGATGAAGAGCAGGGAGGTGCTTTCTGCAGAGGAAGGCTTCCTCCTCTTCAGAGGATGCCTCAGTGATGGGGCTGGACCCTCTCCCGCCATCTCCTCACCTCTTGGTTCTGCTTTCCGACGCTTAAACCCCCGCAGATCCTTCCCTCAGAGCTGGGAAATGAGGCACGTCCCTCCCCACCCCAACCAGTCTGATACTGGGAGCTTGGGGGACCCCCTCCCACACAGCCCACAGCTCCCCACTTTGGGTTCCCCACCTAACTGGGACCTTCCTTTTAGCATCAGGCTTCATTTTTCCCCTGCTCTGCCCTTCCCTGTCGCTCCGAGGCAGCATTGGGGACAAACTCATTAACTTCTTGGCTAAACAAACCACATCTGGTCCTCAAAACCTCATGGTGGGACCTGGAGCTGCTGGGGAAAGGCAGAGCCCACTCCCCTCTCCCCCGTCCGAGGGACTGCATGGCCCCACCAGCCTCAGCCACCTCAACTGGACTGAGAACCCCCCCAGCCCCCATGTCCCCTCTGTGTGAACCGTGTCCCCATCACCACCAGACATTTCATTTTCATTTTTTTTTTGTTATTTTCTTCCCTTTTTTTGTTTGTTTGTTTTTTGTTCTGTTTTTCGTGCTTCGTGTTCCCGTCCCGCGTTCCTCCGCTCCAAAGACCATCGTACGGGGCAACAAAGCCTCCAAGGACGGTTCCCTGACCTGGCTGCTGGATGAGTTTGAGAACATGTCCGTGTCCCGTTCCAATTCTCTGCGCAGGGACAGTCCACCCTTCCCACCCCGTCGCGACCAACTCTACCTCGGCCTCACCGAACCTCCGGCCGCTTCCCGGCCTCACCAGGACGTCGGCAGGAGTAAGGAGAAGAGTCGTCACGGGGCCAGGAACGAGCTAGAGCAGGGCAAGGAGAAATCCCGGGAGAGGGAGGACCAACGTGCTCACCACCATCATCACCATCATCACCATCATCACCAGCAACCCCGTGGACAGGAACCTGGCCCCAAACCCCCTCCCCACACCAGCAACCGCCCACCCCCTCCTGAATATCCCAAAACCCCGGCTGAGCGGGACGGTTGGCGGGATCACCCCAGCGATAAGGACTCCAACGACCCGGCTGAGCGGGTGATACGGCGAGAACGTCCCGAAACTTCTGAGAAACGCCCCAAATCCACTTACACCACCGGTGAGACCAGCCCACAATCCCCCCGGGACAAACGCCCGCTCTCAGGGCCCAATATCCGGACTCCCAACATTCCCATCTCCGAAGGGGTGATGAAGACAGCTCAACAGACAGGACGACCCTTTAATACCTACCCACGAGCCGAGACCGACCCCGGCAGGGGCGCGGGCTCACAGGTAAAGCTTCCCCCTTCCCCTCTCCTTCGGATCCGCTCGGCAGCGACCTCTCCTCCTCCCCCCCTGGGGAAGCTTTGCCACGCTCGGCCTCTCTCCTCCACCTCCTCGAACAGCAGCTGCCCGAGCAAGCGCCGGTTAAACACACTCACCCTAA